CACATCAGATTTTTTTTTTCCTTCAGCAGAAAGTATCCCTGCATACAAACATCTAATGTTTTCCCTTTTAACACATGGTTCATTAATTTTTTATAGTTATTAAATGAATTGTCAGTCACCTTTTGTAGCTGTTTTGGGTATATTTCTCTTATAATTTCTTCTCTATCTTTACCTATAAGGTATTCAAGTTCTCCAGCTATGTTGCTGTTCTGTTTTGTGCACCATTTATCTAAAAAAAGTTCTGAGAGTGGATTAATGAAAATTTAAGATGAAAGTTTTAATGCTTCAAGTGTTCTACATAGTCTACCTTCACTTCAATACAATGCGCAGAACATGCATACAACCATATGAAACTGTGAGAAAAGTCTTTGTTGGGGATGTTATTCCATTTGCATGTCACTGTGACTTGAATGTCGGTTACATCATAACAGTGTTGACCCTTCGTGTGATGTTTGATTTTCAAGAATAAGAAATAGTCAATCTGTGCCAATTTAAGAACACGTTTTTTTGCTAAAAATAGTACTCCAGCCATTTGAGTGGATGCATTGTCATGCAGCAAGAAGTATTTCTTCTCCTTTCGTCAATCCAGACAAACCTGCTGATTTTCCTGCATAACCGATTTATGGCACCCATGAACTGCATTTCCAGTTATGATTGTATGCCAGGAAGAAAATATGCTGTGAAACTTCAGGCAGAAGATATAGTCTTATAATTAAACATCTATCTGTAATTCCAGACAAATGACAAAACAGGGTACTATATCATAAAAGTCCTATAAACCACTTGGTGGTTCAACACATGGTAGCTAACATTCTACATAGTAACAACCACATGGTAGCTAACATTCTGACAATTTACTTCTTAGGAGAAGGAAAGGATATCTTTTTCATACCCGAATCCTTAAATGTAGCTTTTCGGAAGATGGAAGTCTAGCTTTTATGGTCTGTTATTCAAAAACCTCTAATGTCTTTATTCAGACAATGAGTAGTGAGTGACATTTTCTGGAACTGAGGCAGTTAAGTAAAAAAAAAAAAAAAAAAAAAAAAAAAAACATAAAGTAATTTTATACAAATTATATTATATAAAAAATTTCTTTTGTTTACTTAATTTAATAAATACACATAACATAAATATGAATTTCTATTTAGCTTATTTTTTCTTCACTGTTCCATTCAATCTAGCTTAATTTTAGTTTTCATGAACAGTTGATGTAGTAAACAAAATAAGAGTTTACAGACTCATTATAAATGGAATCAACTGCATTAAAAAAAATCTGAAGTGGACACCACATGACTTCCTTGTATGGCCTATTAAATTATACACATTTCATTTAAACTTATTTCCACGAAATTTCATTAGAGATATATTTCTCATCCAATTAATTGAGTTCTCACTTTGCAGCAAGGAAAAATACATAAAAATTCGAAACATCTTCATTAAAAATTGTAAAATACAGAAAAACATAAAACATCAAATAAAGTTTTAAAAACATTTTGCAATTAAAATTAGTTTCTACACAAAAACAAGCAATTTGGCCAGTAGGCAGGAAGATAGATTTGTTGTTGTTATTGTTGTACACAATTGAAAGTTGAAATTTGGTCCCACTCTGCCAAAAGACACTGAAGTTGAGCACCAACTGAATTCACTATCCAACTAAGAGTTTCAAATGTAAACAAATGGTGGTCTTGTTAGGCTTAGTACCACTTAAAGAACTTTTAAATTGTTCATGATTCTACAACTATTGCATGCTGATTAACTGATTGCAGGCATAACAACCTTAACCGCAACATAACAACAACATAATCCAATCACTTTTAAAGCAAAAAATGCATAATTTACCAACATATAAGAGTAAACAAACTGAGCTCACTGAGCCAGGTAACAGAGTGTGTATATATATTTATATACAGTCAAAAGTCTTTAATCTGGATGCCCATAATCCGGAATGATCTAAAATCTGGACCTCAAAGTAAGAAACTTTCTGCGCATGCGTAAATGCATAATGCGTTTACGCATGCGCATAACACATTTACGCATGCACGTTTTATGTATAACGGACGGTATAAGCTAAAAATTATCTAATTATCTATTTCAGTTAATGTTGCAGATTGCGTTGTTCCTTAATCTTCTAATTGGATTCGGCTTATTATTTTTTGCGAACTGTTAGAGCAATATTATAAAAGTAAGCTTCAACTTTCAATTATGTCAAAAGAATTTCCGATTCTGGAGCTACCAAAGGATCTACAAAGCGAAAGCATGTTTTGATGTCCATAAAACAAAAAGTGGAATTGCTGCACAAAATGGATAAAGGCATATCCTTTGTTTTTCTAACCATTCCAAAATCTGTTTATCAATTTCACGCTGCTGTGTATGTGTGGTGGTGGTGGGGGGGGTCATGGCGCGCAATGAACTGTAAGTTGATCTGTCAGCACTATCCTTATCTTCAGGGCAGATGTTTTTTATTTTATTCAGCTTATAATTCCTTACTAAATGTAGTATTTCATCTCGATGTACTCCGTCTTTGATATGATTTAAATCAAATTCCTTGTCATTATAAATATCGCGAATACACATCAAATAGTTTTCTGGTTGCAATTTTCTAATTTCGACTATGCATAATGTATGCTTTACGCATGCACACGTTGAAAGAAATGTTTAATAAAGTAAACAAATAAATATAAAGCCTTTTGATAATCCAGAATCGCTGAAGTCCCGATGAGTCCGGATTAAAGACTTTTGACTGTACATTCTATTATTTGGCTCAGTGTGTATATATATTTATATACACTCTATTATTTGGCTCAGTGTGTATATATATTTACATTGCTGGCCATTAAAATTGCAACATAATGAAGGAAGCAAAAACAAAAAAGATATTTATTGAATGTGAACAGTATGGTCTGAAGACAAAATGATTAAATTTGTAAGCATTTTAGAGGTTTACAGGGTTGTGAAATTAATAGAAACAGCTGCCACCCCTGGCAGCTATAATGGGTCTTACCCCATTAAGCATGGAGTCAAACTGAGCTTGGAAGACAGAAATGGGCAACTCATTTTATGCTGCTTCAAGTCTAAGTCACACTTCATCAACCGTATTAGCTGGAAAGGGGGTGGCGGGCCTGTCTCTCAGCAACACATGACCAGATGTTTTCAATGGGTGACAGATCTGAAGACTGTGCAGGCTAGGGCATCAATCGAATACTCTGTTTCAAGGAAGGTCAGAACCCGACATGCAACGTATGGTGCGGCATTATCTTGTTGGAACATGGCCTTTGGGGACCTCGAAGATAGGCTACAACCATTGGATGTAAGATGTCAGAAATGTACCCATCTGCCTTCAAATTACCAGCTATCCATACTAGAGATATGCGTGTAGTGTACTCAGTGGCTGCCCAAACATGCCATCAGAATACTGCACGTAAAACCGTGACTCGTTTGAAAAGGCAACTTTGTGCCACTCCTGTATCTAGCTTTGTCATCTGGCACACCAGATTCGCCGTCTCTCTCTATGCTGCATTGTCAAGGGAAGCCGAAGTAATGGTCACCCTGCTGCAAACATCGACACACCATACGAGCTGATATTGGACGTGCTGCAAACATGCCCATTTCCTGACTAATGGTCCATAATGCGGTCGCACGGTTTTGCAAGGCTGGCCTTACAATTTGTTTGTCCTCTCTGATGCTAGTCATGGGAATGCCTTGAGATCCTGCATGCCATTCATGACCCTTGGCAATCCACTGATTCCATATTCGCTTGACAGTGGTTGGATGTCGACCAATGTGACTGGCGATATCACGAAACGACAATCTACACTTTTGATAGGCAATGATCCTGCCTCTATGGAATTTCCAAACTTGCTGATAAGCAATTCCTCTTTTTATTTAAGGCATAACACGATATTCTGAGAAAACGTCAACCTTATAAAGCGCTTTACAAATTAGAAATCCACTTCACAACTTTTCTTTTATGCAGTGCTTCAGATGTTGTTTCTCCCTCCTGCGGCATCTAAATGGACTGAAATACTAATCATTTTCACACCCCAACTTCTTCCTTTCATGTGATTTTTGTTGTTTGTCAGATCATTCCTTCCTAGTGTTGCAATTTTAATGGCCAGCAGTGCATACACACACACATATATGTACGTTTGGTGCAGCTAATTGCAATCCAAAAGGGGGTTACAGCTACATGTTATAGCAGTTTCGTATATAAATTTTCAACGTTCTGAAGCTAAACATTTTTTAGTTATGTGAGATACATACAGATGTCCCCCCCCCCAAAAAAAAAAATCCTCTTCTGAAACCATTTTAAATCCATTTTACAATTCCTTTTGGAAAAAAAAAAAAAAAAAAAAAAAAAAAAAGAATCCTTTATTCTGTCCACATGCACAGATGCCACACAAAAATATCATGCAGATGGATTCAAGAATGGTCAAAATGGATATTTTCATTGAAATGTGATACTCGAAACTTTTTGCTATTGCAATACTTCCTTTATTTCGTAAAAGGAAAAAAAAAAAACTTTCTGTATTAAGACATACAATATATTGATGTATTAAAATTTATATTACTTTGAAATCCATTAATTGCCTTAAAATTGCTCGGTAAGTTAAACAATATAATTAAACTGTATACATGTATACATGTGCTTTATGATAGCATTACTCAAAACTAATTTCAAAATTTATGTATTACAATTTTAAAAAAATCATGCTATTGTTGAAATCATAAAAGTCGTTTCTGAAAAATTAATCTTCATCAAAATACTAGACATAAAACTACAACAGAAAATTTCTAATCATCTGACTTTTAAAATGGCAGTATACACATTTTTCATATGAACTGATATAACATCAACTGTTTAATCTTAACTATTTGCACAGAAAGCAGTTATAATTTTTCTTGAGTAAGGGATATGTTAAATTCCTTTATTTGATGCTCAGGTTCAAATTTATAATGACACAAATGAATTAAAATTAAGACCAAAAAGTGAATGAAAATACCTTCAGCTAAGCGTATGAGACTTTGCAACAATCTAGGTGTGGTACGTGCAGCACTTCTTCCCTCTAAAGCTCTTTGTCTTTTATAATAAGTTTGAAGTACTCTATAATAAAATGTATAAAAATGAAATTCATAAAGATTTTATTACATTATGTTTCAAAATTTCTCACCTAATTTTTTATGAAGTTCCCATACCTCTTCTCCTTTCCCCTTTCAAGAACAATTTAGCTCTGATAAAATAGTTCCAGTGTAACATCATATATACTGTATTTGCCAGCGAATAAGATGCACCCTTTTTTTATACATATATTTGAAGGATAAAACTTTATTACTGATCATTATAACGAATTTACAGTATTTTAAATACAAAGTAATACTTTCTTCAAATACCCTATCTATCTGGTAAAGAACACCTTTTAATCTTCTTCGTAAAAACCCAGGCAGTCATCTCCAGAGCTAAATGAAGAGTCACTTGAAACCTCTTCTAAATCAGCATCTAAGTCCTCATACAACAAATTGTCCTCTGTACCATCTAGTGCATTACTAATGCCACACTTCTTAAATGATTTAACCACTGTTTCTGTTTTTACAGCATCTCATGAAACTTCGACCAATTCACAAAGGATGTATCAATGTATAAGACACAGTATCGGCATATACGAGCCAACCCCTTTTTCTGACCTATTTTCGAGAAAAAATTGCATCTTATACGCCAGTAAATACGGTATTTTCAATCAAGAAATATGTACTTTTATGATTTCTTTATTACAATTAAATGTAACTGGGGATTAAAATACAAATTTTCAATCTAGTATTTTTCAAATGTAAACTAGGGGGGGGAAGTCCAGGATGATACGTTTTCTAGAATATTATTTTTCTAAATATTATATTAAATAGAATCTTTCACTGACTTCTGTTGTAGCATGACATAATACAAAACTTCTCTCATGTTGCTAGAAATCAAAGCATGATACGGCATATTTGACCTGCATGTTACAGGAGTTAAACAGTCATCCCTTTAAAATCTCTAGATTTTTATCTTCCATTCCTCTATTTCTTTCAGAGCTAAAATGATTTCTAAAATTCTATAATACCACAATATAATTCTACAATACTCCAACATATCCTTTCCAGTTTTCAAAGGAAATTAAAATTCTGTAGTTTTTAGCATGCCTGAGGCTAGTTTGAATATTCTTGAATAATATATATAATATATTTATTTATTTAAAGTTTTACATATTTACTTGAAAATTACCTCATCCCTTTTGCTAATTCTAAAGCTTGAAAACTGACGGAGAAAAATTACTGTTTTTGAAGGGAGAAATTGGAAGATTGTATATAATGAAAATTAATATGCTACTTAATGAAAAATACAAAATAAATAACATATAAGATTTACTGGAAAGTTCTGTCCGATAACGTTGTGTCAAGTCTTAACATGCATGCTGTTTGAGACACATATGGCCCTCTCTCTTTATCGCTGCATTTATAAACATACGCTCCTCTAAATTAACAAAAACAAAAGTATCTCATATTATTTTTAAGTGAGATGTGATTGTTTAAACATGGCTACTGATAAAGTTCATTTACAACACTGTATTTTATATGAATTCCAACAAGGAAGAAATGTCACAGAAGCATGTTGAAATTTAGTGATGGTTTTTGGTACATATGCAGTTTTGGATAGATGGGCAGGAGATTGTTCGAAAATTTTGAAGCGGGGGGGGGGGGGATTTTGACTTTAATGATAAGCCATGCTCTGGGTAGTCAATCTTTGATAGATGATGATATTATCAAGACCATGAGAGAGCAAGATCCTTTTTCTGACAACACTGGGAGATAGCAGAAAAGCTTAATTTAGCTAAACAAACCATTTCAGACGACATTTGGAAATTAGGATTGGTTTATAAATATTCCAGATGAGTGCCTCATGAGCTGTGTGAGAAACATTTGCATGATCAAGTCATCATAAGCTTCCTTGGTAAAGCTTGACTTGATCATTTGCATGATGCAAAAAGGAACCTTTTTGGGCCAGATGATAACTGAAGATGAAAAATGGGTTACTCACAAAAACATTGTTAGGAAAACACTGTTAGGATTACCTACAAAAACATTGTTTTGTTACCTACAGAAGCATTGTTAGGCTATACTGTGAGCCCAACAACCTGCTTCTGCCACTTCTAAACCAAGTTTCAGCCTGAATAATAGAATGTTGCATATATAGTGAGACATCAAAGGAACAATACATTACAAGCTTTCGAAATCTAAAGAAAAGCTCAATTCAGAGAGACATTGTATGCAAATGGACGGTCTAAACAATGGAGCCAAAGAAAAGAGGCCAGTGATGTTCAATAGGAAGCACATCATACTGCATCATGATAATGACAGACCACATGCTGCTGCTTTGGTGACTCCTTAGAAAATCACAAAGCTCTGCTGGGAAATTTTGCCACCATGCTCCTCAGACAAAGCACTCTCCAATTATTACTTGTTTCTCTCCTTGCAAAAATTTGCCAAAGGAAGAAAATTCAAAACTGAAGAAGATGTAAACACTACTTGAGTTTTTCACCTTTAAGGACAAGACATTTTTCAAAAATAGTAGTTACAAATTACCATCACTCACACTGGTAAGATGTCATAATTAATGATAAATAAAAGTATTGTAAAATAAACATTACTAAAGGTATCAAAAATTCATTATTTCCTTTCATTTTCCACATTTCCTTTCACTTAATATCTAGTCAAGATAAAGTTCAACTCCAAACTTTATCCTAGTTTTTAAAAGCATTCATTCTAGCAAATTTTAGCATTTAGCACTCCTTATTACTTAGTTAGGTATCATCAAAAAAATTACAGAAGACCTCCATTTTAAAATGCCTGAAGTTCTTGATCATGAAATCAAAACACAGATACATGATAACTATACAATTTAACATCAGCATCTGTAATATTCTATGTTCAGAAATGAACCTGAGGGAGTAAGAAAATGGGAGTAACATTTGACCAGGGCTGTGGAGTCGGGTAGTTTTTGGGTAAAAGGAGTCGGAGTTGGAGTCGCTAAAAAACATGTCGACTCCGACTCCAGTTTTTGTTCAACAGTTTGAATTTGAAATGAAATTAAAGTGAATTGAAAAAAAAAAATTAATGATAAACTGAGTTAATATTTTTATTTATGAACTATATACATTAATAAATAGTTATTTTCCATTTTATTGGCATATTAGTAAATAAATATAAGGGAGCAGGATGGACGTGATATTTGCCATTATTGATTAAACTGATTAATTTAGTTACTAATCTCATTGGTGAATTTAGGTAAGCAGCAAGAACTTCCAAAATTGATGCCATTCTTAGGAAGCGAGCAGGAAAAGGAGCAACGCAATGGAGAAGTACATATTTGATGATATAGTGGTTGTTAGGATTAAGAACTTTTTCAGAAAATGTAAATAACCCTAATATTTCACCAACAGAAAGACTGTGGAATGATCTTGCGGAATTGGAAACTCCTCTTTCTATACCATATATAGCCACCAAAAAACTACAATCTGAAGAATTAAAAAGAGGCAAGACTGGAAGAATGAGATGTTGTTCTTTCTGAAATGGAAGGTTTATTGCAAAAGGAATCATTTCTTCAATGAATAAAAGAGAAACTAGTTTGCTAGACAGAAAGATCATGCTGGATTCAATATATGTAGATCCAAAATGCTGAATTTTGCTGGATGACAAACAAATTAAAAAGGCAAAGAAAGCCATCTAGGAACTTTCATTAAGAATGAAATTATTCTCAGAACAACTGGAGTATTCAAATCAGGACAGTCAAACTGCAGAATATTGCAACTGAGTTTCTATCATCCTCTTCCACTGATGAATTAGATTTTGAGAAATATTTGGATTATATTGAAAAGGCTAAGGCAAAACAAATGAAAATAAAGAATCAAGAGTCTTTAGATATTAAAATGAAAAAATACAAACAAGATTTATACACGGCCTTTGAAGAAATAGATAAATATGACTGCTCTTGGAAGACACTTCTTTTAGAACTTATAAAAATCTATCCTGAAAAGTTAAAGGAAGTAGCCCTAACAGTAACAACTCTTCTTCCTACTTCCTTCTTCTTAAGTCAGTGTCAAAAGACTCTTCTCAGTTCTGAAGTTTATCAAATCGGATCTATGGTCCTCTAACAAAGAAGATCTTGCCGAAGTTTTACTGTTTCTTAGAAATTACTAATGCCAGTTTTTCCATTTCATAATAAATGCTAATTAATATAAAAAATTTGCTTTGCATCAATTTTTTTCTGTAGCATCTATTACTTCTTTTATATTAAAAAAATAAGCTGTGCCCATGTGTATATGTTTACATATACATGAAGGAGTCGGAATTATTAAAATTCCAGGAGTCGGAGTCGGTCATTTTCCCTGCCGACTCCACAGCTCTGCATTTGACTCTATAACTTTTTTAGTTGATCTATAACTTTTTTTCAGTTGAAAGAGGGGTAAAAAAAAAAAAAAAAAAAAAAAAAAAAAAAAAAAAAAAAAAAAAAAAAAAGACTTTGAAAAGACCTGCTAAAGAACAGCCCAAAAGTATGAGATCTGGAAGGACAGATGCGCCAAGTTATTAAAGTTGTACCAAGATGGAACTTTTGTTAAAGAGTTATAAATGATGTACATAGAATGAAAAAGGAATTGGCTATAATTGAAAGAAATGGTATGTTTTTGAAGACATTATACAGAATTGTGATGATGTGTATTGCAATTTTTCACCAAATATAAGGATCATTTTCTCCTAAAGGTGTTTCCAATTATATTTTGTCCTTCAAATATGCGTTTAGAGATATTACAAAAGAAAATCCTTGATATTGCTCACTGTGAAAAGATCACAAAATTTCAATATGTGCTCATGTCACCCCCTCCCCCCCAAAAAAAAACATTGGAGCAGCATGGGAAAATGCCAGAGCATAGAAACAAATAAATTGTCATCAAAAAGAATGTATGCTGACAAATGTGAAATCAGGCAACTTTAAAATGTTAGATAACACATCCAATAAAATATCTAAAAGATTTGCTTCTCTTACTAACTTTGAATCTGTGGTCTTCTGAAGGAAAAGAACTTTATAATTCTAATTTCTCTGAAACTATTCTAAATAAATAGCAACAATAATGTATCATTATAAGTGAAGCTTAACAAATTATCTTCATGCATCCTCTCGATACAAACTTCAAATGCATCAGCAGAACAACCATTTCCAGCAGAGAAAAACTGATAATTATATTAGAGTAATTCAGTCACAAGAGAGATTAACTGTACTTAGCATTATTTATTGAAATACTTTTTTCTCGAAAGTTACAGCATGAAGATATTATAAAGGGATTTACTATTCCAAATATAATGGCAGATTTCACATTCAAATAATTTTAATTCCAATTAATATGATCAAAATGATATTTTTAGATTTTTAATTGTATCCTAGACATTCAAGTCTATACTGCTATTTAAACAAAACCATATTATTTGTGTATCTCCAATGTAAATTATTTATTAATATTAATAGATTTCATAACACACAGAAACCGAAAACTGGTGAGTTTCAAATTTTTATTATTTATACTGTATAGTCATACTTATGTATTAATATATAAACACATAATAATTAAATATTTTATATGCATTATGCTAATCCTAATTCAGTAATATAGACATTTTTTTAAAATTTTGTATTAACAGCAAACCTTTTACAAAAAGACAAGGATATACACCTGGCAATGTGGCTCTGTGATCCTGCAAGGCTGCCAGAAAAATATGTCTGTCCTCTCAGGCACTAGTGGCCCAAGACCACTGAGATCCTAAATGGCATTCAGAATGTATTCACCTGATAGTCGCTGGACCCTGATCAACACCAGCAGCAATGTCATGGAATTGTTGCTGGTATAAACCATGCTCCTGATAAGTTACAATACTGCCAAGATTTAATTCCGACAAATGCTGATGGGAGATTCGCCTTCTTACATGACCTTTATATAAACAACTAATGTTCAAATGCAATACCCAAATGGGAAACATTTTGTGCAATTTCCCCATTTATACACAATGTAGATAGCATTAATTATGTAGATAGCACTTTGTGCACATATGCTGGGATGTTAATCATTCTCATATACCACAATATGAATGATCAGCAGTATATTTAAACTTTGCTTTAAACTGTTTTTCATTCTGCTAATAAATGTGAAAATAGAGTACTCAGTATTTTGAACATATTTGTATTGAATAAACATTTTTTTAGTAATTTAATAAAATTTGAATACCAGTACATGGTTTAAAATTTACTAAAATCTAAATAGCAAAAAATAGTGACTCACTTTTCACACTCTGGTGTTATTCTTGGATTTATGTACCGGATTAAAGAGAAATAACTTTTCATTTTTGTAACTGACCACAAAGAATCAGTATTTGTTCCTGCTGTAAAATATATTTAATTAGTTTCTCAGCTTACAGAAACAATTTATAACGCTACATAAAAATTAATATTTTGATATTCCATTTATAAAATTTTCACACGGCATTCAAAGTACAATCAAGCTTCAATGATTGTAAAGAGACAAAAGAAAATTATAATTAGCCAAAGGAGATCCTAATTCAATGTTAAGCACGATAAGCATAGCAAAATATTTATTTTTTAATTATTTTAATTTACTTAACCCTTCTATAATTTAAGATGCATGATGCAAAAACATCTTAATTTTGTTTTAAACATGATGTACAAAACAAAAACCTGAAATCCTTATCTGTACTTAGCTGTTTTATAGTTTAAGAACACATGCCAAAAATATCATTAAAAAGGATTTTAATAATACTTTGCTTAGTTTCACATTTTAAAGCAATATTGTCCACTGCCTTACCAGCTTCTTGCTCACATCAAATATCATTTAATAATTTTTACACATTGTTACTTATATCAGCAGAAGTGAATTTTAAATTAATTTTACCTATTTTGTTTTTAGAGTTGGATGACTCCAAATTTGCACTCTTTTCATCATGAATGATGAACTGTTTGCAACTTACATTAATCTATAATTTTTTTACTTGTTTTTTAACTGCTATCTTAGTTACTGCTTTACTTGCTTTTTTTTACTTAGTTCCATAACACCCAGAACATTAATTTTTAGTCTGTTAGCATCATATCCAGAAAATTTCAGAAATAGCAAAATAGAACTTTAACTGTATTGAGTCAGTTACTACAGTTTACTTATATAATTAAGTAGAAACATTATTTTCATGTTTCTCACATAGCTAAGACATGGCTAAGCAAAGAAATAGTTTTTGTGAGGCAAAATCTTTTTATTCTTTCATTCCCATCCCCCCCAAAAAAAAATTCGTAAGGAAAGATAAAAATAGAAAAGTTGAATGAAACTGTAGCACATTTTAGTGCACGAATGCACAAAAGAAACTAATTTTTGTTAAGTGATATCATTAATTAGGATAAATCCTTTGCTAAATCAGGAATAATTCCACATTAGTTTTAGGACACTTCAGCTGTAAAACAGAATTTTCAGGAAATTATTGTTGAGTTGGAAATTATTGTAGAGTTGGATTTTACTTAAAATTGATTTTATACTACAAATAGCTGAAGAAATTTAATTTCTATAGGATTCTCGTTAAAATTTAGCTTTTAAGTTCTCTGAACTTTGCATGACCAAACAATGATGAAATAATACTCAAATTACAATTTGCAACTGAATAATTCAATGCATATAATAAGCTTTAAAAGAAAAAAGAAGAACATTATAAAATCTAATTCATCTTACTCATTGTGAAGCAAATAAGTAAGCTTTTAAAAAATATTGAAAAATAATTTTGTAAATATCATTCACTATAAGTATTATTCCCGTGGTTCAAAATAAAACTGAAAAACAAAGAAATTCACTTGCCTGGAAAATGTGTTAAATTGCCTGGAAAACGTGTTACACGTGACAGTTGTATACTACTACAATGCTCAACCACATACAATGGTTACTTCTGAATTACATCACATATTTTTGCAAAAATATTGTACTGATTAGCAAAATTAACTAGTTCACAATAATCATATAGTGCTTTGATGACTTTTTAAATTATGTCTTTTTTAACAATCTACAGCTTTTATAAAAGCATTTTATATTTAATTTATATATATATACTTTTCTCCCCTTCAAAGGTTTCCCACCAAAATCAAATTTTTGTTTTTCCTGATTTTCCATGACCAAACTGAATAGTTTCCCAGGCCAAAAATGATGAACTAATTATCAAATTAAGTATGAGTAAGATAATAACGTTATGTATTTGCTAAAAAACACATTGCAGCAAATAAGAAATTAAAAAAAAATTTTTTTGGCCTGTCTTTATTCATTATTGTAAAGCAAATGAAAGAGCAATTACATTTCTAAAGAGAGAAGTAACAATTGCTTATTAGCCTATAAGAAGAATATCATAAAATTATATCAAATATGAAATGAGTAAAATACTTCCTATAAGAAAAACAAAGACTACGATAATTCTTCATCCGCTTTCTTCTTAAGAAGGCCAGTTTATAAAAGTTATCTTAGTTTCTGCTATTAAGTTAACATTTAAAATATGAAACTTTTTTTTATTTAATAGGGTTGATCTAGACTTTTTTTAAATTCTTTTATTTTCTGGAAAAAAAAAAAAATTCTAATTTTTTTCTGACTGAAAAATATTTGTATTTTCCCTGGCTCCCCCCCCCACATAAGGGAATTTCTGTTTTCATTTCTTTCATGCTGTGAACAAAATTTTCCTACAAATAAGCCACATATTATTATCATGAAATTTTATAAAATGGCATCTTTTTATCAGAACATTAGATATGCTTCCTGCTGATATTTTATTAAAAATTACTCTGTGAACAACAAACCTACTTCTTCATTTGCTTTCCTTCAAGAGCAATAACTTTTGTTTATTCTCACTATTAAAAATATGAACATTATATGAAATGATTAATTTGTACTGTACTTTTCCTCCTTTTTACTTCTCTAACTTTGAGGGGGGGGAGTTAAAAAATTTTCCTGACTTTCCAAGATTTTACAGGTTTCTGTTCTAGGATATTAAATTTTTTAAATGTCTTGTGTTTAGATAGATTTCACAGATATTTTCACAGATATTATTCACAGATATTTTCACAAATTTATATTCACAGATTTAGTAAATGATGATTTATCATGAACAAGGTTATTATAAGTTTTTACAGATCTTTGCCACGAATAATAAATTTTATAACAATATTTTACACATAATCAGCCACGGAAGAAAAAGAGTTTATTGCATTATAGAAATACATAATTTAATACAAAAATATGAATAATAAAAATACTAAAAAGTTTGTTTATAGTATATACACAAAAATGTTTCGTTAAAAATACACATATCTATCATGTAGCTTTACTTCTGTCATAGTTCTACATGCTGAGGTTAAAAACAATTCATGTTTGAAGGTTACTTATTCACAATAGTCAGCTGCTAATTTTTTTTTCATTTAACCTCTTTAACAAATAAATTTACCTTTTATAATCGAACTTCATCATAGTATGAAATTGTTCATTTTTTCAACATGAAGCAAATCTAAGAAACATAACTAAATAATATATACCAGTGGTATTCATACTTTATAGCAGTGCGAGGGAATAAAAATGCAAATGATCCCCAAAACTAATTTCGTGATCCCAATTCAGAGTGTCGACTTTTTATTATATAGCATAAATTCAGATTTTGTACGATTTTTATTCACTTTGCAACCCCACTATAAATTTTTGCGACCCCAAGTGGGGTCAGGACCCATAGTTTGAATACCACTGATATTTTAATTGCTTTTTAGAGGCAAAATAACTTCATATACCAATAAAATATAATTAAAAAAAAACTTTATACAATAATCTTCAGTAAATGAATATCACCATAGCAAGTGAACATACAGAAAATCAGTTAGCAGTATAGTAAAGTCCCCATATAGTTTACTTAAAATATTTCTTTCCATAAAGTTAATATTAAAATAATAAATTCGTGTGTGGAGAAATACCTAAATAATATCAAAAGAAAGTTATTTAATCAGCTATTTTTAATGTATAAAAATCTGAAATATAAATTCTGGAAATCTGAAATCTATATCAATAAAAGGAAGTGAATATTGAGATAGTAGAATATTTAGTTATTCACACAAGACAGGACCAATCTCAATTTGTATAAGCAAAAATTTGGATGTATAGATTAAGCAAAATAGATTCCAGACACCCCCCCCTTCCCCGCTGCTAAATCTCATGTGTCTCTTAGAGTGGTAAAGGTAATTACTGAATTGCTATAAAATGGGTAGTGTTCTTTGTTCTGTTCGTTTTGAGACCATAACAAGAATTCCTTTTAGGCATTTAACTGGAATAAGTGCAGAATAATCTTGCTGCTTTAACTAATCCATAGCTTTCTCAAAACATTCCAAAAGTTCAGTATTTGAACACTTGGAGCATTATAGTAACAACCGTTTTCATTTTCGCCAACTTTTATTCATTTTAAATATACGACAATGTCCTCACAAGCATTTTAAATTTAATCTATATGATCATTGCATCATTTTTAACTACTTATTCATTTCATTTTCCTTATAATTTGGGTTTCTTCCAGTTTCTTTCGTAATGTCCATTCTCTGATATTCATTATTACTAACTAAATCATTTAATATCTTATTTTATGATTCTGATAGATGATTTGAAGATGAAACATGAATGTTGAGGTAATTGGTCAATTTGAAAAATTAATATTTTTCTATACATATCACAATCGGAGTATACATCTCAAGATATATATGTTTTTAAATATATCTTAATTGAAGCAGAGACTACTACAGTCAAAAGTCGTTAATTCGGACACCCATAATTCGGAATGATCTATAATCCGGACATCAAAACTAAAAACTTTCTGCGCATGCGCCGCGTTGACATATGCGCATAGGCGTTTACGCATGCGCCTAAGACCTTTTACGACTGCGCATATCAGTGTGCGCAAGTGCAGAATACGTTTTCGCGTGCGCGTTTTATGTATAATGGACGTATAAGCAAAAATTATCTAATTATCTATTTCAGTTAATGTTGATGATTGCGTTGTTCCTTAATTTTCGAATTGGATCCGGCTTATTATTTTTTGCAGACTGTAAGAGCAATTTTATAAAAGTAAGCTTAAACTTTCGATTATATCAAATAGAATTTCCGATATATATTTGTTAATATGTAAAGGATCTAAAGCGAAAGTATGTTTTGAAATCTGAAATCTGTTTATCAATTTCACGCTGCTCGGCGGGGGGGAACGCCGCGCCGCGGCGGGCGCGCGCGCGTAATGAATTGGAAGTTGATTTGTCAGCACTATCCTTATCTTCAGCGCAGATGTTTTTATTTTATTTGGCTTATAATTCCTTACCAAATGTAGTATTTCATCTCGATATGCTCCGTCTTTGATATGATTTAAAACAAGTTCCTGGTCATTATAATTCGCTTCCGATAGCGAAAAAAAGTAACAGAGGTTATTGAAAACGAAAAAATTTCGATTGACAAATTAGTCGGTGTTCTTGACACAGCAATTATAGGACTTGAACAGCGGAACTTTGTAACTGAACAAGAAATTATGTCTGTTTAATAGAATTAAAGAGAAAGTATTATCACATGAAACGAAGCAAAGCTTAAACAACTTACATTAAAAGAAATGTTTAATAAAGTAAACAAATAAATATTAAGCTTTTTCTTTTTGCAAATTTTGATATCCTTTAGATCATAATTGTTCTTTATTTCATAAATTACGGTTTCATATTTTTAATTTTAGAATTTCTGCATGCCATCTTACGAGATTTAAACTGATGATCTATAATCCGGAAAAATCGATAATCCGGAATCGCCGAAGTCCCGACGAGTCCGGATTAACGACTTTTGACTGTATTCCTTAAAGCTAATTTTGGAAAAAAAAAAAAAAAAAAAAAAAAAAAAAAATTAAATAGTTCATTAAAAATCAAATTACTTATTCATTTACTTAGGTTAAAATATTAATGTACCTATTAAAGACAGATACAGACATTATAATGAAATCAAAAATAATTACCTAAAATATTTTTCCCATTCAAAATGTAAGATGAAACCATTTCATCCCAATTTCTATCAAATGTATCTAACAACACTAAAATAATATCAAATCGACTTAATAATGGACTTCCCAGAGCCGTATTTTCAGGCAAACTCTATAAAAAGCAGAAAAGTTTTATTTTCAGAGGGAAAATAACAAAGTGTATATATAAAAGCCACAATTTACATATAAAAATAATTAAGTGTGCTAAGATTATATATATATTATTTTATCATTTTAATAACTTTTTAATTTCCTCTTGAAAAGTTCAAGTGAGTTTTAAGTTTTAAATTATTTTTACAAATACTTAATAAGAGAAGCTTATTAATTTAACAAACAAAAATCATACTGAAATGATATGGTTAATGAATGACTGAAGAAAAATAATAATCCCTAATATATTCTCATTAGTTTTAAGAGAATTATTATAGCCCTTGTATATGGATGATAATTTTAATAGCATATTTATAAAATCATACTGTTACGAATTTTGTATTTAGATAGCTAATTTTTGTAGAATTATAAATAAAATTGTTGTCTTTTCCTGTGCAATGCAGCACGAGACAAATTTTAAGACAAAGCTATACCGGATAAGTAAAAAGGAGCATGTGCATTTAACATTGAATAAATGGATATTTCGGTAATTTGTATTGAAAACGAATAAATGTAACTGGCCACTATGTTGGATGTAACCATAATTATATCCTCTTATTGCTTTCCAAAAATCTTGAGAAGCAGAAAGTACTAGAAATATCTCGCAACCAGTTGAAATCTATAAAAGGTCGGAGAGAGAGCATTTTAGTTAGTTGCTTAGTTACTGTTGTAGCAAGTTATTATTTCCATGTGAAATGAGATATCTGAATTAAAATTCTCTTTAGATATGTTTTGCATTGTGTTGTATTTTAACGTTTTTAGTAGTTTGAAGTATAACTATTGATTATATTGTGTGATATTGTGAACACTTGCACGAATATCTCTGAAGAAAATTCCAGCATTCTAAAATATTTCTTTTCATAAGAATTAATTTTATTAACCTATTATTGGACATGTGCATTCAATCTATTACAAACCCATATGCACACAACAATATTATCTTTATAATGGCATGTATGCATCTGTTGTAGACAGATGAAATAGCATCATTTGTTTGTAGCATATAATAACATACATCAAATTAAAAACATTTTTTGATTATGAACTTTAACTATGCTTCCCAAAAAAGGGGGGAAGGGGAAAAAACTGTAGAGTTATTGTTTTTCAATATACTTTCACTTGTTCTCTGAAATGTTGATAGACAAATTCACATAAAAATATTATTTATGAAGCAGTTAGAGGTTACTGTTATTTTAGAACATGAAAAAGTAAGTTCTAGAAAATATATATATTCAATTATCCAGAAAAATCTGTTATCTGATTTTTCTGGATAATTGTATCTTTGCTGCTAACTGAGATTTTATAGTAGTTTAATATGTATTTGGAACTGGATAAATGCTCTTAATAATTTGAATTTTGAGTATCTAAACACAGAATATACATTAAAAAAAATATAAGTGATTATCTCTAGATGTAATAAAGATATTTTAACTTCCATTATGAATTATCAATCTTAGTTTTGTTCACTCAATCTTAAACTTATGTAGAATCAAGCTAAAAAGGGGAAATTTATGAATAAAATATTCTGGCTCACATGAGTTTTAAACTTATTTATAGGTGCTTGAGTTTTGTGCTCCTTTTTTTTTTTTTTTTTACCTCAGACAGCTGGAGATGATGTCAGGACAAGGAATACCCGAGAAAGTATGAAACACTAGAAGAAAAGGTGACATTCTTTTCCCACATTTCCACAAAACTTCATCATCCTCCAGTTCTAGGCTATGTATCAGGTCCTTGTACTGGCCGACCTACACTACTGAACTGGCCTGATGTAGAAGATTACATGACTGTTACCCAGAGTATTTAGTACAGTCAAAAGTCGTTAATTCGGACACCCATAATACGGAAGAATGATCTATAATCCGGACCTCAAAGTTAAAACCTTTCTGCGCATGCGCCGCGTTGACACATGCGCATAGGCATTTACGTGTGCGCGTAAGACCTTTTACGTCTGCGCATATGCGTGTACGCAAGCGCAGAATACGTTTTCGCGTGCGCATTTTATGTATAACGGACGGTATAAGCTAAAATTATCTATTTCAGTTAATGTTGATGATTGCGTTGTTCCTTAATTTTCGAATTGGATCTGGCTTATTATTTTTTGCAGACTGCAAGAGCAATACTATAAAAGTAAACTTGAACTTTCGATTATGTCAAATAGAATTTCCGATTCTGGAGCTCCCAAAGGATTGTTCAAAACAAAAGTATGCTTCCATGTCCATCAAACAAAAAGTGGAATTGCTGCAAAAAATGGATAAAGACATGAAGAATGTGACAGAGAGGTTAGTGAAAACAAAAAAATTTCGATTGACAAGTTAGTCGGTATTCTCGGCACAGCAATTAACGGGACTTGAACAGCAGAATTTTGTAACTGAACAAGAAATTATGTCTGTTTATAGAATTGAAGAGAAAGTATTATCACATAAAATGAAGCAACTTAATCAACTTACATTGAAAGCAATATTTAATAAAGTAAACAAATAAATATTAAGCTTTTTTTTTTTTTTTTTTTTTTTTTTTTTTTTTGTAAATTTTGATACCCTTTAGATCCTAATTGTTCTTTATTTCATAAATTACAGTTTCATATTTTTAATTTTAGAATTTCTTCATGCCATCTTACAAGATTTAAACTGATGATCTATAATCCGGAATCGCTGAAGTCCGAATTAACGACTTTTGACTGTATGGACACAGTGGGTGTAGACAGAGTTCCTGACTAAATATAGGCTTCCCTGCCTCATTAGACTGAACAACATTACAGGTCCACTTTTCCTTTAGGACAAGTCGCAGAGGCTCAACCTCTGTCAATGCCCCTCCAGGAGAGCAGGGCACCACCTGGCTTTTGCCAGGCAGCACTAGTCGTTTGATTTGCTACCTGCCAGTCGCTTGGGCTGCCCGTCGCAATGGGTCATTACCCAGCAAACCGAGGGTTCTAACCCCCCAGTTTATATTCTTATCCAGTATTTAGATGGTTTATATTCTTTAAAGTGTGATTTCTCAGTTTGCATTTTATCGATAAATCCTTTTATTTTATGTTCTAAAACTTATATAAATATGGCCTAAATTATTTAATATTTTAACTGCTTATTTAAAATTATATACTTTATAGAAACAAGGATGGGTTTTGCAAAACAGTGAGAAGAAAATTTATTTGAAGTGAAAATGTGAATGAGATAATGTTTGTTTCTAAGGTTTTACATAAAAATATATTTATATTTTGTTAAGCTCAAAAAATAAATAAAAATATGTTTATATTTTGTTATTTTGTTAAAGGTGTTAAGCTCGCTTTGTTAAATAAATTCGTATTTAATCGATTTATTGAAACACAAAATTTATTTCAAGTTCGTAAAATAGCTAAGTGCCTACGTTTTATGACGATGTGAAAATGGAGTGTGTAGAGTAAAATCTCGCTTTCCTATAGCCCAGTATGTCTCAAAATGACGCGATTTCGTCAAAAAACATAAAATAAAAAAAATTCGAATTCGAATTTCGAAAAAATCGCTTCGAGATGCACTGGCTCTTGTTCAGATGCACCTATGTACTAAATTTTGTAGCCATGGGTCTATTAGCTTACGCGCAGCATGAGCAAAAGACACACACACACAGACAGACTTTTTTATTATATGTAGAGATAAATTTTCTACGTACTCAAACCATAAAATTAAGTTGAACAGCAGTATCGCAAAATAATTTTAAAATAAGCATATCTTTAGAATTTTCGATACAGAGTCTCACATGCTGGAGATAAAATTTTTTTTTCTTTCTTTTTTCATACTGTTGCCATTGCTCGCTTTGAAATCGTTTAGTGTTTTAATCACAAATTCGTTGAAAGGTTACAAAATAGGAAATTGATAATAAAACAAATTTCAAACTCAAATTAGGGCTTCCATATGTCCATACTCTAGGGAAGATTACATTATTCAAATTTTGATAGCTCTACGTACCGTTGTTGATGTGATAACATTGCGAGAAATATACATACATTCATGCAGATTATACCATAATACAATTTTAAAAGTGAACCGACATTTATAGTGAGCCAACCCAAAATGATAAAAGGAAATTGATAGTCCTTCTGCACAAATTGCCCTCTTTGGACTAAAAAAATCTGAAAGATTCAGATTCATTCTTTCAGATTTTACATTACGCTCAAAGGGGCTTTTTTTTAAACATTTTGTGTGTTACCTTTATTTATTAAATAACATGTTCTTTGCAATTTACCGTAGAGTCCAGTTCAACAGCAATATTTCAAAATAATTTTTAAATGAACATATCTTTAGAATTTCTGATACACAGTCTCGCGCACTGGAGATAAAAAAAGTTTTGCCATTGCTCGCTTTGAAATCGTTGAGTTTGTTAATCAAAAATTCCTGAAAGTTTTACAAAATATGAAATAGTTGATAGGACAAGTTCCAAATTTGAGCTTCCAGATGCCCACATTTGTGTGGAAATGCACGTTATTCAAAATTGGATGGCTCTAAGTACCGTTGTTTTATCACAATGCAAGAAACATACATATATTTATGCAGATTTTTCATTGTTTAATTTATTTAAATATAATACAGGGCAATAATAGTTGGTGACAACAATTTGAAAAGTGATTCACCGTTTACAGTTTTCAATGCAAAATTCCAAAACAAAATTAATAGTTCTTCAGGGCAAATTGTTCCTTTGGACTAAAAATTTTCTTTTAGTTTAAAATCATCTTGCGTTACAAAACCATTTGATAATTTCAAAAAAAGTAGATGAAAGTTCTTAAATAAAAAAAAAATCCTTCTAAAGTTACCGAGTTCCCTTGTCTCGTTGAAGACGATAAGCGTGTCTTTAGTTTTAATTTGAATGGTATTTCTGGAAGACCCAGCATCAGATAACCTTGTCTGAACTTGTTTACAAATTTCCGCATTTTGTATGGTTCCATCTAATTTTTTGGGACGATATAGCATCCCCAGATATCTATCAACATGA